TACGGTGTACCTATAGAGCTGCACTCTGACCAGGGAAGAAATTTTGAATCGGCGGTGTTCCAAGAGATGTGCCAGATACTGGGTATCCGGAAAACTCGAACAACGGCTCTTCATCCACAATCAGATGGCATGGTGGAACGGTTCAACCGAACCCTGGAAGAGCATTTGCGGAAGGTCGTAGACAAGAATCAAAAAGATTGGGATGTCCGCATACCCTTGTTCCTGATGGGATACCAGTCAGCAGTGCATGAAACAACGGGTAAAACTCCTGCAAGGGTAATATTCGGCAGTGAGCTCCGTTTGCCTAGTGACCTGAAGTTTGGAGTAACTGGTGAGGCTAGAAGAAATGGAAAAGAGACGTCAAATATCCTGGAAGAGGAGCTGAGAGAGATACATGCTCTTGTGAGAGAGCGCACGCAAATTATGAGTGACAAGAAGAAAGCCAGGTATGATAAGGCGATGAATTCCGAGGGTTTCCAGGAAGGAGATTTAGTGTTGCTGTACAATCCACAACGGAAGAAAGATTTGTCCCCAAAACTACAATGCAACTAGGAAGGTCCGTACAAGGTCGTAAAACGACTAAATGACGTAGTGTATCGGATCCAGACCGTTGGGTGACCAAGAAACAAGATGAAGGTGGTCCACTTGGAAAGGCTTTCAGCGTTTGGAACAGCAAGTGTGTCTGATCGGGACGATCAGACTTAGGTGGAGGGCAGTGTGGCGAATACTGCGGCAACGCGAAGCGAACAACGAGAAATAGGCAGAATGTTCGAGGAATGAAGTAGAATGTTCCGCAAAGTGAAACGTCAAGCTGGATGAACACTGCGAACAGCGAGGGAAAGAGAATGGGCGATGAACTTCAGAACATTCTAGGGTTGCCATGATTGCGAGCGCAGGTATATAAGAGCCACCACACAGCGGAGTGGGTTAGTTACAAGTCAGCAAGCTACAAGTAGAGTGAGCAGAGAAGTGAGTTGCGGATAAGCAAGCTATAATTTTAGTTGTGTTAACAAGTGTTATTGCTTTAACAAGTATTGCAAAGTGTTTTTACTGTATTATATTACATTTACATTGAGCCCAAATGCGTCATTTGGGCGAGAAACCTCAAATGCGAGGCCAAATCACGCATTTCTCCATACAAATTCACATTTCCAGAATGACGCATTTCGACGCATTTACACAAAATCACGAACATATGCGTTCCAATTGCCGTACTATTTTATTGAACGCACTCAGAAACAAAAGTTCCACAAAAGCTTTGGTTTGTCTTTGAAGTCAAAGCAAATGCGATCAAGCAGTGTAAACACCTTCAAATGACTGATTTCAAATCACGCATTTTGGTCCAATGTAAATGTAATATTAGCGAGTATTGTAAATTGATTGTTGTACTAACTTTATTGTACTACAATTTGGTCATCGTTAGCATTTATTTAACAATCCAGCGATACGAACCGAAAGATTTGGGAAATCCGGACGAGGTTTCAAGGATAATCGGAGCTCCTCAAAAATACTTAATATCAAAATATAAAATGTCGCAAATATGAATCATACACACTCAGTAATTGCTATGAATTGCTACCGGATAAATTCAGGACATGCATTTGCTTGGAGACGCCGTTGGTCATGGTGGTCATACGTTCCGCTAGCACATCCAATGGTCCATTACCCGGAGCTGCTCGAACATGATGAGTAGATTTTAGCGAGCCTCACATGCCACTGCCTCTGGCTACAAACTGGATATCTGAAGATTAGAAAATAAATACAGTAATTTTGTATACAACTCTGAATCAGCAAAATTCATGCTACTTTTCATTATCAGCTCTGATCAGATTATCGATTGTTTCGTGGAAATTCATTTTCTTATTGG